TATCCTCCACCAGTGGCCCATCTTCATGTAGTGGTTCTAATAGTGCGAGTTTCACTATAGATGAGATGCAAGATCTCAAACATCTGATGGCCCCGCTTAATGCTTCACCTGCATTTTACTTCCACTTCTGTTGCCTCCAACTTTACTCACACAGGTATACATGTCATTGCTTTTAGTGCCATATGTTCTTCTAATCCATGGATCATCTATTTCAAAGCTTGCTCGAGTCTTTTAACCTCTTATTACACATGTTGTGGTAGAGACAAAGGTAGGGTAGCAGATGACTTATTGTCATCTGTAGCGGGGAAATGTTCCATCTATGTCTCTATCTTCAGTCCTTCATATTCCTAAATTTTCTACTAACTTACTCTCAGTAAGTAACATTACAAGTCTCTAAATTGCTCTGCAACATTCTTCTCTTCTCATTATATCTTTCAAGAACTAAAAACAAGGAGAGCGATCGGCAATGATAGAGCTCATGGTGGTTTATATCTACTGGAGGATTAACCTTCTAAGGCACTCCAAGCTTCTTGTTTTGTGGCCCTCCAACAGTTACATCACTGGCATCGAAGACTTGGTCAGTAGGAGTTTTAGAGAAAGTTTTTTAAGTTTGATAAAACAATATAATACAGATAATTTTCTTTGTGATGAGTGTGACTTTGCCAAGCATACAAGAACTGCTTATCCTAGCAATAATAATAGAAGTACTACTCCATTTATGATTGTTCATTATGATATTTGAGGACTATCTCGTGTTGTTTTTCTTGTTGGATATCGATGGTTTGTTTTTTTCATTGACTGCTATACAAAAGTTACTTGGGTTTATTTGTTGCATAACAAAAATGAAGTATTTACTTGTTTCAAGAACTTTTATATACTAGTTAATACTTAGTTTGATGTCAAGATTAAGATTCTCGGGACGGAGAATGGGACAGAGTACTTTAAGGGCAAATACAAGGTTTACCTTACAAAACATGAGATTATTCACCAATCTAGTTGTGTTGATATACCTGAGCAAAATGGTGTAACCGAGAAAAAGAATCTACATCTCCTTAAAGTGCCTCGCTCCTTAATGTTCACCATGGATGTACCTCCATCGTTCTGGGGAGATGCCACTGCTGCATATCTCATCAATCGCATACCTTCGATGATTCTTGATTTTGCTACTCCTATAGGGTTGCTTCAAGGATCACTGTAACTTTACTCTATTCCTCAAAGGTGTTTTGTTGTGTATTTTGTGCATGATTATCGAAAGACCAGAAGGAAGTTAGATCCAAAGGCGTTGCATTGTGTCTTTATTGGCTAATTTGCTACCCAAAAAGGGTATAATTGTTATCTTCCTTAGTCTAGTAAGGTGTATGTTAGTATGAATGTCACATTTCATGAGAAAGAGTAATATTTCTCCACTCCTCCATCATCTCTCAAGGGAAGCAGTGTATTAAAGAAGAAGAGACGTGAGAGTATGGATTCCTGCTCTTACCCCCTAATCAGGGCTTGAGCCCGGGGGAGCAGAGTAAGTGTGGAACATTGGATAGAGAGGAATTGCAATGCTATACTCGACGACAAGCTAAGCAAATCACCACTCAAGAGCCACCAAGTCAATTGTTATCTCCAGACTCAATTCCTAAGATCTCTTCCCCGGTATCAAGTAATAAGTCTCTTTGCAGCAATCCTATTGATGATATCACTTGACCTATTGCTATTCGAAAAAGAGTTCGGACTTGTACCCAACATCTTATTTCTAAATTTGTCTCTTATAACTCTTTGTCTTCCTTTTATCATGTTTTTGTTTCATCTTCGTCTTGTATATCTCTTCCCCAAAGTTGGCAGAAGCCCTTGCAGAACCCAAGTGGAAAGTAGTCATGGTAGAAGAAATGAGAGCCTTGGAAAGAATGAAACCTAGGAGCTTGGATCTCTTCCGGATGGAAAAAAATTAGTAGGTTGTAGGTGGGTATTCATTGTCAAGAAGAATGCAGATGGTACAGTGGATAGATACAAATCAAGACTAGTAGCTTAGAGGTTCACTCAAAAGTACGACATTGACTATCAGAAAACATTTGCTCCTATAGCGAAGATAAATTCCATTCGTGTAATCATTTCTTGTGCAGCCAATCTGGAATAGGATTTACAACAACTCAACGTTAAGAATGCATTTATTCATGGGTACTTAGAGCAAGAAGTGTACATGGATATCCCTCTAGATTGTTTTTTGTCAGCCACAAAAGGAAAACTAGGTAAGCTAAAGAAGTCTCTTTATGGACTAAAGCAATCTCCAAGAGCATGGTTTGATAGATTTCATAAGGCAATGGTTAAATTTGACTACAAGTTAAGTCATGCAAAATACAAATCACACAATATTCATCAAATAAGGGAGTTGTAAGATCTCAATTTTTATAGTATATGTTGATGTCATAATACTTACCGGGGATGGTGTGGAGAAGTGTCCAAACTGAAGGTCCATCTTGCTAAAAAAATTGAAATTAAGAATTTGGGGCGATTATGCTATTTCCTGGTGATTGAAGTGGCCAAGTCAAATAAAGGCATTTTCATCTCACAAAGGAAGTATAACCTTGACCTCTAGAAGGAAACTGACATACTAGGTTGTAGACCTATATTGAGGCAAATCACAAACTGAGAAGTGATGAAGGTAATCAAATTGGAGGAGATATCATAGGTTTGTTAGGAGACTTATATACCTCTCTCATACTCGCCCAGACACAGCATATGCAGTGGGTGTTGTTAGTCAATTCATGCATGCTCCTCGGGTTCCTCATCAAGAAGTAGTACATCGTATACTAAGATATCTCAAATCATCTCCAAGGCAAAGAAATATTGTTCTTAAAGCAAGAAGATTTGAAAATAGAAGCTTTCATAGATGCAGACTCAATCGAGGATAGGAGGTCCACTACAAGTTATTGTACCTTTGTAAGAGGAAATCTAGTAACTTGGTGGAACAAGAAGCAAGCAATAATGGCGAGATCTAGTGCAGAGACCGAATATTGGGCCATGACTCATGATATTTGTAAGCTTATGTGGTTGAAAACCTTAATGGAAGACTTAGGGATCTCTATTTGTGAACCTATGCGGTTGTATTGTGACAATAAGACTGCCATTAATATTGTTCATAGCCCAGTTTAACATGACAGAACTAAACATATTAAGATTAATCGACACTTTATTAAGGAGAAGCTCAATGATGGGTTAATTTGCAGCCATTTGTGAAGTCCAAGGAACAACTCGCTGATATGTTTACTAAGGGACTTCGTACTAGAATCTTCCATTCCAATGTATGCAAGTTGGATATGAGAGATATCTATACTCCAACTTGAGGGAGAGTGTAGGATATTAAGTTATTTCAATTAAGGGCATTATTGTAATCGTTCCTTTATTATGAGTAAATATAAGTATGGGTAATGAGAGGAGAGACTAATTACTCTCATTCTCCTTAACCCTATTTTTCTAGTCTTCTCTTTCTAATCTTCTTTCTTTTGCCTCCTCTACACTCTAAATATGCTTTATTGGATCCTATGCATGCCATTTTCTCGATACCGAAGGATATTTCTCAATTTGTTGCTATAATGCTAGATAAAAATTTAAAAAGGAAAAGAGTTCTCATAAGCCAAACAATTAATTCCATGCCATTCAAAAAATCAGAGTTAAGTGAAAGATATCAACTAAATCCTGAAAAAGAAGTGAAGTGTATTAATAAAGGAATGAGAACCAAATGTCTCATAGATCGAATGAATGAACCACAGATTAGCTACTTTGAAAAACCAAATGTGTCTAATAGGAAAAAACATAGTCATTCTCAGATCCTCTTGTATTTGTTATGGCTGCATGACAATAATCTGACTTACCCGTGTAGGATATTATGGTGATTTATACACATGTTGTCTATTTAATGCTAACTTAAAGGTAACTACAATTTATATATTGATGATTGAGTTTATGTAATTCCTGCAGTAGCTCCCCTGAATGCTAATTGTATGATGATAACCTCATTAATATATTTTCTATGAACTATATCTACAATACTTCACCTTGAAGTTTCAGTTCCCAAATATACACTACTGTTGTCTTTTGCATACTCCGTCATTTTTGGCATTGGTCACTAACATTACTCATCGTGATCTTTTTTCCAGATAAGCAACATTAATCAACAGATTTCGCATGAAACAACAAACAATTTCACAGCTGCACTCAAAAGGATCTTTAACATCTTTCACACTAACACTCTAGTCAAGTTTGCAAGATAAGGTAATACATGTGGATGCCAATATTTCAGTTTTATCTGAACCGGGTTATTGTAGGCTTATGACAAGTATCATGCCTTAACAGTCATAAAACAATTCTTTAATCCAATTCTGATGTGGCCTAATTATTTATGAAAACCAGTGCTTAAGTTAAAAAGAAAATCAACAGTTGATCATACTACTAGTAAATAGGGATTATTTTCTTTTTTCATACTCGATATAAAGGGTAGAAATTCACATTTATCCAGTGGCCCTAGATCCACTAGTTCGGTACTTCAAGCTTGCTCATCCACCATCACGATATAACTAAAAATATCTTCAATTCTTTAACTATTAGTGAGGAATCTGGAAAACTGATTGTGAAGGATGACCGATATGGATATGGATATGGGATGTGGATACAACACGATACGGATACAATGGTAAGGTAAAATCTTAAACGTACGATATAGACATGGTCAGGATCCGCCTATGTTTCCACATATCTTTATTTAATTCATTGTTATAATCTTCACTTACCAAAAAAATAATAGGATGCTGTAATAATACACAGGATCCAAGGAGCTAGGCAATAAAACAGGTCTCAAAGTAAAATAATATATGTAGCTTGCATCAGCCAAAGGTGTGTTCAATCCCATTGTCTTAGTAATTCTAAAGCTGGACATGAGCCATTATTCAAGAGGCCCCAACTTGGACTCATTATCTAATTGAAATGTGGATACTTGGTTTTACTGTAAGCCATAGCACCTAATCAATCAGCTCAAGCAAGCTATAAAACCCTTCGAAAAGATTCAGCCCAATACCACTCTGCCCAAGGCCTGTGAAGCCACTCATCTTCTCAAACGAAACAATTGTCCATAGCAGGTCTACCAGGAACTTCCAACCAGCTCCACTCCTCTATATCTGTCTTGAGCACGAATTTAGACCCATAGACCAGTTCAAATCAACACAAATTACTTCAGTAAGTACAACAAAGTACAGTGAGCATGTATCTATCACAGAGCTACGTGTATCTAAGGCATATTTGAAAGGATCCAACAATGACAACATATTTTACCAAATTACTTGTCTCGTAAGAGACATACGGATACGTATTCTCATGTATCCATTGGGTGTCGAGACCCAATATGTATCTACACAGATACTTCACTGCAAATCGAAGTGTCCATGTTGACAACTTGTGTATGCTGAGGCTTGGATTGAAATGTGCATCCTTAATACCTAATTTAAGTCCTTCCTTCACGCGTCGAACTTACAGATGAGCCAGTTTAGAACCACCATACCCCCTTAAGATGCTTTTTCGCATGGTTCGGATCCATATGCATAAGAGTTCTGCGAGACGATATTGCAATTTTCCGGAAAGTAACATTGTATTGCTTGGAGTAAACTAGGTACAGACGTGTAGGGACATACCCCAATATTTCGAATTTCGAATTTCAAATACTGAATTCCCTCAATTAGGCAATATATTAATCTTGAAGCAGTCTACAATAAATATTTCCTACTTTCCAGTTGTTGAATCATGAGATAAAGTAAAACACAGAGTACAAGCAAAAGGATTGCTATATTTAGAAACTTAAACAAGACCGTATCAGAAGAGGCAGCAGTACAGTTAAGTTACACTTGATGAACATTTGGGCTCAAGAACTCAACTACACAATTAGGAGGTGATGATCCTCTACAAGTTAATAGCATTTATTTTTCCATGTTTGCTGCACACTTGCTATTTCCCATTCAGCCCTATATATTCATTGAAAGATCTTACCCCACATAAATTCATACTTTCCAAGTTTTCAATTTGTTCATGAATGTCTTCAAATTTGGAAACACAACCAGTTTGTTCTAATAGAAATGATACATTTAAGCAAACAAATTCCACTTCTAGCATGATAAACTCCAAGCCATCATTTGAAATCACCAAAAAAGAACTGAAAAGTGTGTTTTAAGTTCCAACGACGGACAAATATAATGGCTCAGCAAGTAAACAAAAAATATCACAATTCATATAACTTCACGGCCCTGCAAACTTGTTGGAAACCTTGCACCCATCTCAAATAAGCATCTGTTCGTATGGATGCATACAGGGTATAAAATTAAACAACATAAAAATGCATCAAATCACTACACAAAAAGCGAGAATCCCAATGATGAGCCATACCACTTTCCTCCTCCAACATTTCAGCTCCAGATGCAGCAATTGTAGGAACAGACTTGTCAGAAAGCTGCTGATCATCTCGTTTAGAAACCAGAACATAAGTTGATTTGTCCTGGCCACTGGTACTCTTTGCAGTGTCTCTTAAAACATACTGTCAGTCATATGGGGAGAGTCAACAACCAGAACTTCATCATCTAAACTTTTCTTAATTATGCACATCCACTTAGTCAAATGCCAGAAAACTGGAGAACCAATAGCAGAACAAATATCTTCCTGTAGGACAGGGAATGCAACAAAATAGAGAACAGCTTAAGAAACACACAAAGAAAACAAAAATCTATAGCTTGTTTCAATGCCCCCTCTAAAATGATTTGGAAAGCACAGGTGCCTCTTAAATTTCAAGTTTTTTCTTGAATTGTAGCTCAAAAGGAACTCAATTCTAATGGTATACTTCAAAGGAGAAGACCTTATCTTTTTTTGCTTCCTCAGTGGTTTGTGATGTGAAAAAAAAAATGCTGAGAGCATCGATCATCTCTTTCTTAATTGCCGCGTTGCTAGATCACTTTGGAGAAGATTATTTGGGCCAAGAGAGTTGAGTTGGAATTCACCAGCTTCAAGTAGCAAATGGCTAAGATTGATTTTTGAGTTTTTGGAAAGGGTAAAAAAGCTCGATCTCTATGAAACCATGCTGTGTCAGCTAATTTTTTATTCTATAGGGAAAAAGAATGAAAGGATTTTTTACGATAAAAATGAGGAGGAAACAGATTGTTTCTTGGCCTCTTTTTGGGTTTTAGTATCCACTTGTTTTCTTGTTTTTTATCTTTTGCACAATGAAGGACTTCTCATCCTCATGCTACGCTTTTCTATTATAAATAAAGTTATTATTGCTGATCAAACTAAAAATAAGTGTTCAACATGATACAAGGCAACTGCAGGTCATGAGAATCATGACCAATGAAACAAAAATTCCATTGCAACCAATCGATAAGAAGTGAAAGCAATCTCAACCTACTACCATTCCATAAAAGTATAATAGCGACCAATAAAATGAGTATAAAAAAATAAAATCACAATTAAAAATCAAAATATGTAGTCTTGTGTATCAGCCAAACGTATGATAGATACCAGGACCATAGTTCCCATACCATCCCACGAACCGAAATGGGGTGGGTTCGCGATCCAAATCGCTTAAATTCCATACCCAAATTGTAACTCAAACGGCCAAACCTCAAATAAATACTAGCTAATTATGTGTATATGAATGTATAATTATATATTATAGAAAACGAACCACAACCTAATATAGCATACCAATTAAACCTACCAAATAGTATTGCGGATCAAAAAATGTATCATACCGCGTACCCGTACCAATACCACGTACCATATTGACCCACGATCTAGGTAACATTGTGTATGAACAACATATTTGAGCAGATATTGATGAGTTCTCACAAATTAGCAAGTGTATGAATACCAATGATAATATCAACATTGTGGTGACTGAAAGTAGAAGTTATCATAACTTAGAAGGTGAAAATCATTGGTGTACCATAACAGGTCATACCAATACCATAGGGCAAACTAAAAATGAGATAAATGTGAACTATGGCATCCGAAAAAACTATCGCTTTCATAGAGAAATTACCCATGCACTATTCAAGAACCAGGTTTGACTGCTTGGACCGTCATTGTTGCCACCCAAAGTACCACACACTATCAATCTTACAAAACAAATTTCCAACCCACAACACCAACTACTTTATCTGTTTGCACCATCATAAATGTTCCAAATTTATGAGAAAAATTGAATACCATGGCTGCAGAAACCCTTCTCCTTTCAGAGCCTCGTTTTGATGAAGCAGAACTAGGAAATCCAGTTGATGCTCCACTAGCCCTTCTGGTCTGTCTCCCATTAGTCAAAGATCTCTGTCAAAGATCACAGAACAATACCGAGGCATGCATTAGGACATACTACCATAAGGCAGCAAGCTCATCAAAAATATAATCACATGGGCAGTCATAAAATTACACTTAAGATTGTAAATCATAAATTTTAAACAGTAAAAACGAGAAGATAACACAATTGAAGGACTCTTTAAGCTATAAATTAATCAGGATCTGTCAGGGAAAAAAGGAAAAAAAAAGAAAGAAAATTTAGGAGTCCAACAAGAGTCAAACATTAACTTCCACCAATAATTACCTCATCCTAACAAATACACAGAATTTGTGTGCCAACAATGTAAGTTGACTATTCAACGCCCCTCAAATCCATTACATTTTCAACCATATTCATCTTCATCAATATATGTGAAAAAACCCAGTCGCATCGGCCCATGCCCTCCCATTTTATTGCTTTGTCATCTCTAGTATAGTATAGAGACGGAGTCCAAAATAAAGGGACCGCTGCAAAGTTTCCACACAGGCTCTCAAATCCAATATTCCATGCCACAAAGCTAGAAGCCTCATTTAAGATCATCAATAAATGTTTTGTGAATGTTCAGTCTCAAAGCTTATTATAATCATAAAGCGACACAATTTGGTCAAACCTGGAATATTTGCTCCTTTTCTTGGTTCACTTTTCAGTGTACTTCCCACAGTTATTGCACAGAATCCAAAAACACTTATTCATAATCACCACAAGATCTTTCCTACATCTTTTTATACCCTTTTCCACCTGCACCACAATTTCTGGATAGCAGAGGCACCTTCTTAATCAATTATCTAAATTTTAAGCACCCTATTAGATGCTTGTCGAAGCAAATAACTAATGATTCCTCGTTTTAAACCTTCCAAACTTAACCCTTGACTAGGTCACTAGTGTAACAAATCCCTCACCTTCACCAGAACCTTTTTAATAATCCTCTTTAAGAAGAGCTTTTTAGCCTTAAGATCAACTCCAAGGTGCTCACAGCAGAATTGGGTTAGACCATTAAAGCATAATAATCCAATGTCCAAGAATATTTATTACTACATTTCAAAACCCCCTGTTCATTCCATATCACCACCCAGAAGCCTCCGAATGTCATTCACACACCAACAGACCAAAGGACCCATACATTCACCCTGATCAATTTCTAATAAACATCACTTAGAATACCTATGTAAGTGTTTCCGCCTAGGAGGCACATTATGCGGTGTAAACTCTTTTATCTAACCCAATTGGCTTCTATGCCAGACATCTGCCATTTCATACAGACGTTTTCTACTTGAGTAACTAAGTGCTTCAACTTAGAGTAATTAATCGTTTCCCTGGTCCTCAACATTGGGCACCGATGAAAATGAGTCAAATCATGCACCTATTCATCTGATTATAGCATTTCTCAGTCTTTGCAATTTTCTGCATCCAACAAACAACTTCAAATTGCATGTAAGAACCCTGCAATGCAACAGAGGAGGAAGAAGGAAAAAGCACCAGCTTGACCAATTGCTTCTTCAACACTAAGAATAAATATAATATAACCCTACAAATAAGAAAGCGATTTACAATGGGACCAGTATGTAATTATGTGATCAATGATCTTCAACTTTTGTGCCAATAAATACAAATGACAAAAGTGTGTACCCGTGTTCCACCCTTAGCAGCTCGTTTCTGACGAATGTAATCCATTAAAGGAGTAATTACCGGAGCATCTTTCACAGTACCTAGAAGTTCAAGAGAGAAAAACTTAAGTATGAATAACACAAAATATTTACTTGTTTCTCTTAGAACAAAATATTAATTAAGCACACGAAGCACATAATTTAGAAGTGTTCCACTAACCAACTCGCTCTGCTTCCTTTCTCTCCAGCTGTATTTCTGCACTGGGAAGATTCTCAATGGGCTTCGCAATAAATTCAAGGAACTCCAGATACTCAGGATCTACATGTTCATCAAGGAATTAATTGTGATAGCAGATAAGGAAATGTTGGCATGTAGACCAAATGCTATCAGCAACCATCTTAGCATTTCAATACCTTTAAATATGGTCCCTTCACGTCCATCCTTTTTAGACCATTGTTTTGAAACACACTGTGAAGGAGCATACTCAACCATAGCTCTAAATTGAGTGCCTGTGAATCACAGTCCAAATAAGATGTCAAATTCAACAAAGTTTTTTAGAAGAGGAAGGGCAGAGGAAAAGCTGAAAAATAAAAATAGCTTTTTGTCACATCAACCAACAACAAAAACATTTCTTTGAGCCATTGGCGTCACACTAAGCAGCAGAAGCACGGGCACGAGCACAGGACAAAAATAAGGCATGCATACGCGAAGTTAATTTTTTCAATAAGAAACAACACTTTATTGATAGCTAAAGGAAACATTACAAGAAAACCACATCACGTGTGGACAAAAGTCCAACACAAGATAGGCCTATAGAAATGAAAGAAAATAAAGAAAATTATAAGCCGCACGAAGCATTACAGCTTGTTCTAATACAAAATAAAGGAATATCTTGAAACTCCTTGGAAATTGATGCTCAAAAGAAGCCAACAAATATAGGGTCTGTCTGGTTTGTGTTTCGAAAACAATTTTCGGTTCTCAAACCAGTAAAAACTCTTGAGATGTTGTTTGATTAGCAATTTCTAAAAATAATTTTTCAAAAAAAGTGAGAATTGAGAACAAAAACTAGAGAACACCTAAATGATGTTTTTTGAGTTTTCAAGCCAAAATAGAAAATAGGGGAAACAATTCTTCCTCTTTATTGAGGTTCACCCATCAAGCTTTCTTTGTAGCAAAACAACATTTTTTGACTTTAAGTATAAAAGCCCTCCTCTTCAACCCAATGAACTTCCTTAGCCCTCCTCTCTCTCTCTCTCTCTCTCTCTCTATAAGCACACACATGATCTGGGTGTTCTTCGTTCTCTTCGTCTTCTTCCCACACTCCTCCCCACCCGAATCAACCGCTCAGTTCTTGAAGAAGCTGAAGAACTTTCCGCTGTGAAACACACACAAGATCTAGGTTCAACATTTCCTCTCCGGTTTTTTTTTTTAGGCATTTGGCTTCAGATCTTGAGTGGAACTAACACAAATCAAATCAACTTTTGATCTGTCTTCTCTCTGTCTCGTCTGCTCTCTTTCTCTCTCTCTTGTATCTTCTTGCACAACAAATATATATAGATATATGTACAGATCTATATATATACATAGATCTGTGTATATATATAAATTTGTGTGTATATATATGTGGGTTGTATGTGTGTGTATATGTGGGTTGAGTGTGTGTATATGTGGGTTGAGCGTGTGTATATGTGGGTTTTGTGTGTGTATATGTGGGTTTTGTGTGAGTGTATATGTGTGTTTTTACTGTGTATTTTTACTGTATGTTTGTGTGTATTTTTTTTTGTGGAGAGAGAGAGGGGAAAGAAAGGGAGAGATGGGAATTGGGAATTTTGTGGATTATTATCCAAATAAGTTTTACAATTTTTTGTTCTTTAAAACTATTTCAAAAATATATTACCAAACAAGTTTTACAATTTAAAAATTTTCAAAAATACTTCCTGAAAACACTTCTCAAAAATTATTTTCGAATACTAATGTTTTGAAACGCAAACCAAACAGGGTAAAAGTCTTTTCCATAAATCCTCAAAATCTTCACATTTATTTTAAAAAATCCTCACATTTCTTTCCTTCCAAATCATCCATAATGTAGCAAAGAAAACATTATGCCAAATGGTCTTCCATTCACTATTTCCCCCAAAACACACATCTTCCAAGCAAAACATAGATGTTATATTCCTTGGAGCAACCCATGCAATTCCCATTAAGTCAAAAAGCTTATTCCAGAATGCTAACACCAAAGGACAATGCAAAAATAAGTGATCCAAATTATTAATATCACCTCTACATATAACACAACCTTGTGGTTTAAGACCAAAATTTGGTCTCCTCTTTTCAAGAACCTCATTTGTACTAATCTTAGCATGAAAAATTATCATCCACAAACTTACAAGAAAAGACCCCCAATGATGGATAGAATAATGGAAGCAAAGGAATATTGATTAAAGATTCAAAAAACGATTTACAAGAAAAGGACCCCAATTAATTACTAATCCAACACCACCTATTCATAAAATTTTGAACCAAAGTAACATTATTAAACATAATGAGAAGAATCATCAACTCTGAACATTCCCTATCATATATATATATATATATGTGTGTGATCATATGATAAAACAAAAAAACAATAACAATAATCATTCAATTCATCATTTTCTTAATTCTAACAATTGACATCATGATATCACCAAATTAAAAAAAAAAAATCAAATATAAGATAAAAATTCATGATCCAACCATCAATGACTACTAAAATTTTTACTTCTAAAAAAATTTGCCTTCGTAACCCTAATTTTCATTCAATTTCAAAAAACCCTAATTTCATGACTTTATTTTTCATCAAATTACTTTCATAGAAAAAGTTTATTCTATTTGTATATAATTTCATAATCGTGTTTAAAATCAAAATTATATCGATGTCCTATATTCGTATAGTAATTGTAACTCTTTTATACTATAACTTTGACCCTTATTTTTTAAAAAATTACAAAAATAATTCTCTTATATATAAAGTTACTTGACAAGTTTTAAAAAATTCAAAAAAAAAGCCCAAAACGTGTCCTCTAACGTGCCAATCGCATGTTCCCAACGTGTCTCAGGTGTGTCGGTCGCATATCCCCAACGTGTTCGAAAAAATTATAACAATTAAAAAAATCAGACACTCATTTTAGCATGTCTAACACATGTCCGAGCGTGTACGTGTCCCAGGCCCATCTGGCACTTGCCAAAATTAAGTGTTTGTGCTTCCTATGTGTCAGAAGAGACAAATCTTTGTTACCTTCTTCATACATAAATCTCTTTTTTCAAAAAAACCAATTCATAATTTTTAACACAATATTTATTGCAACAAGATTAAGATTCTCAATCAAGCTTTTCAAAGTATATGTCAACAAGTTATCTTGATAAAAGAATATATGCCAAAGAAATACCCTTCTCGTTGACAAAAACATGTCCATCAAAGAATTCGGCAAACTCAATGACGTCCTCTGGCCTCTTAAAGTTGATGCATGCTATAGAATGGAATTGGCGCTTCTGACTGCAAAAGTAGATTAGCCGAAAAAGAAATGTGTAAGAAACACTACACAGATTAATTTGAGTGTCCATACATATGAACTAGCAATAACCCATATCTGAAGATACTTTATAACATAGTTGTCAAATCGCAATTCGTATCGTGAATCAAAATTCTAAATTTAAGAATCGTGAATCGTAAGATTCGACAAAAAATTTAAACAAAAATAAAAAATATTACATATTTAAAATAGACAAAATATTGAATATTGAACATTATTGCATTCTAAAAATAATCAAATCACATAATCACGTTGTCTAAATAAAAAGACGCTAGCCTTTCTTACAAAATTCATTAAAAAACCATGACTATTTAAGAAACAAAATAGTGATACCCAGTATAGATTAGGTTACAAATATAAATGAAAAAAAAATAAATAAGAAATTTAATTGGGAGAAAACATACTAACATTTTAAAACAAAAAATTAGAACCTAACAAATTACCCATGAAAAAATTGAGAGTAAAAAACAACCGATGATACGAGAGCATTAGTCATGACCTTTAACTTTAGACAACGCAAGGCAAGCTTTAAACGACGTCAGAGAGAGAACGAGCAAAAAGGTTGAGTTTTTATTAGGGCGTGAATTCCTCTGCAAACAAAACGGCGTCGTTTTACTGTTTAGCAGACAAAACGACGTCGTTTTGTAAAAAAAAAAGTGATTGAATCATGCAATTCGTGCGGTACAAATTGAATTGTACAAATCGTGCGGTATGAATCGAATCATACGATTCAGGTGCGATTCAACTTTAAAATGATTCTCATACAAGGTACGAATCGTTTTATAACCGAATCGTACGAATCGAATCGCGAATCGTACAATTTTGATAACTATGCTTTGTAATACAAAAAAGTGAGTATTGATCATGCAACATCTATATTCTAAAAATTAATTTATTTTTTTTAATTACATAACTTAAAACTAAAGTGAATAAAAAGAAAATAAGAGAGAAGTAGGTGGGTATTAATAGGTTGGTTTGGTACTGGGGATTATATTGGTTCGAGGGTCAGCAGTGCAATGCAAATGATGCTTTTGAGGGGAAAATAAATTGGATGAATTTTATGTTATTGAATCAAAGTAGATAAAAATTAGATCAATCTTAATCGTCATTGTACTTTTATAAGTTCACAACTCAACTTTCAAACTGCAATATTAGATAGATAACTTAGCAAAAAATCAATGTTATCATAAATTCATCTCCTCTTAAAGGAAAGCGGGAAAAGTATTTCCCCTAAAGATATTTCTCTCTTTTTTTTCATTTTTAATAGAACCCATAAAGATATGTCTCAAAGTGAAAACCATTTCTTAGTAGGTGCAAAATGGTACCATATATTCATTAGAGATAAAAGGGGGGAACTATTATCATCCTAATGATTTTGGAAAAATTCATTCAATATTGTTGGAAACAGCATTGCAAGTGTGATCAAATTCCCCAAAACAAAGCATTAGGAACACTTATTCACTTCACAGTAGCATGGTGTCAGGGTGTTCTAATTTCGAAGCCAGACAATTTACATAATCCCCAGGAAGCATAAAGAGAAATGATAATGCATACATAAGTATCAATCAAGATGGTGTTTTTCAAACTTAATCTAAAGATTCCATCATTTATATTTTATATTTCATAATGTATCACTCGGCACCCATCTTCCCCCTTCTGTATATAAATTCTACGGGCCATCCTGCCAACATTTCTGATGTCAATCTGCCACCTTTTGCATTATCAATTTACCATCCAGCATTTTTCAAACATTCATGCCACTCTAAAGGTCAGTGATCTCTATAGCCCTCAACTGTAACCCTCAAATGTAGGATGAGGCACAAAAAACCCTCGCAGAACCAATAATTTCGGCACCCACAGCCAGAAAAAACCCTCGCAGAACCAATAATTTCGGCACCCACAGCCAGAACCCATTCAAAACTCAAATTAAGTATACTGAAGCCTCTGAATACCAAAAATAGTTTAACACCCCAAACCAACGTGCACTCAAAAAATAGTCTGAAGCATACCACGCCCTCCCAAAACCCATACTTCCACAGTCCACGCTCAGAAGCCAACATGCGTTAGAACTCATCCAAGAGTTCACATAGCACTGAGTGATGAAATTTCCCATAAAATTCCATTGAATTCAAAACGGAAAACCCTAGCGTAAACAAATACATGATAAATTCAAATATAGCAGTAAAATGGAGTGTAGTTGCAATCAAACCAACATATCTATAAGTAAAAATAAATTTCTCATAAAATATATGCATAGAAACTGTAACCTGTTCTTGCCGGGACGAAATGAGACCCAGTTGTAGCGACCGGCGAAGCGGGTATCCACTTGTTCCATGAGCATTGACTGCGAAATCGTAGGCGGCAAGTGCCGTATCACGACTTTCGTTCGATCTAACGGACCCTTCATGCGTGCCCTTTTCTTACAAACCCAAAACAAACCCTAGACGAGTTTTTTTTTCCCTTTTCGGTTAGTAACCCTAGATAAGTCTGATACTAAATTAACTAAAATTTGTACAATTTCGTTGCTCCTAACAGTCAAACGTTTCGAAATCCCCTTGAAATCACATCTCCGCGAAGAGTTAATAGCATCGATCGAAGAAGAGTCCGTGCCCTAGTTCCCAAATTGATCCCAAATCTCCATGCCAGAGAAAGCTACAGAGAGAAAATCACAGAAAAGGGTGTGAAAATCAAACAGAGTGATGGAAGAGGATTTTAGAGGTGTGCTGCTTGTATTTATACAGCCGTATTTAAAGTCTCTCTCTCTCGTCATCTGTGTGTGTGTGTACGTATATAACGTGAGTATACGGAGAGAGTTGACGAGAAGGCTGGAGGTATACATTGTCACGTGCTCACTGCTTCAAAGCACGCAGTGCGCTGCACACCCTCCCCCGTCTCCGTTAGATCATATTGTATCCTGTTGGTAACATGCTTAAAGTGTGTCGTGTCCTTACCGATCTCTTACGACTAGTTTGATATACGTATTATAAGAGAATTAAATATTAAATTATATTATTTTTTATTTAATTGAGTCTAATATTTTATTTGATAAAAAAATTTGATATCGTATTAATTTTAAAATTGTATATTTTTTATATGATAGATATGTATTGTGTAGGTTTTTTAATACCACAAAAGAGGTGGTATTATAATTCAATTCAAACGTATTATTCTACACATTTACTATTATAACTCCCAAGTGATAAATTCAAGTTGTCATCAATGAAACAAACACAGATTAAATGTATTTTTGTTAATTCAATATTAATACGATGAAATAATTCTCTATCCAAACAACCGATTAGATTAAATAACTGTTATCCAATGCTTATATTGTGTATTGTCAAACACTAGATAAAATTATGTGTTATTCTAATATCATATTTAATCTTATCTTTAATTCATTTGTATTGTATTAGACTGTATTACTTTATCTAATCCATTCAATTTTAATACGACAATCAAACAAGCTCTCAGGGTCTCGGGTATGAGTGATTAATCTCTCATGAATATCTTAATTTTGATATAAATGATTTGTCTTTGACTAGATTAAAAAAAAATTAATCGAAATGCATGTAAATTGATCCGAACACTTTTGACAGTTGAAAAAAAAAAGTGTGTTGTGTTAATATTTATTAAATTTAAGAGAAAAATACATTAAATTTATAATTGAATGAATAAATTATATGTTAATCCCCTAAACTATGGCTTAATCTCACTTTATCCCTTGAGCTACTAATGTTTTTACATTTCACCCCTCAACTACTTGAATTATTTTATATTGACCCAAATGAAAATGGTCATTATGTTTTTGGAAAATCACTAATTATCTTGACAAAGTGAAAAAAATAATATAGTCTGGGGGATAAATTGAAATATTTTTTTGTTAAACCTACAACGGACATTAGTAATTGGAGTGGTGGTGTCTAACTAATCACATAATTGAGGATATAGTGTAAAAAATATTATAATTAGAGGCACAATGTGAAAAAGAAATCATAGATGAGGGGACAAAAGTGTAATTTACTTCTTATTATAAATAAGGTGATGTTTCATAAAATTGAAAACTGAAGTCTGAAAGCTGAAAGTTGAATTTGTAGAATGTTTGGTATTTATTGAAATTTAAGTATTAAATTGAACTAAATAGTTTGATAACTACACAGAGCTGACGTCTGAAAATAAATTAATTTTTAATTTTACCCTTCCACTCTTTAATTTAAAAATATTTATAAAATATGTCATAACATAAATCATAATCACTATTATTATATTGTAGTCTACATTTAACAAATATTTGATTAAAATAAATAAATAATATTTGAATAAGACAACAAGTGAACAATAACAAATTGAATAACATAATAAGTGAATAATAACATCTCATAAAAAAAATAACAATAACTAATAAATAATCAAATAATATTGAAAAAATACAATAAAAGTAGATTTTATTAACAATATGTGTGTGCACCTATGTATAAGTATTTGTGTGTGCAGTGCATATGTCTGTGTGTGTAGTGTGTCATTTGTGTGTGTAATTATAATTATGTATGTATATTTTTGTTACAGAAGACAAGGAAAAGAAAAAAAAAAAAGATTGACAAGGAGAATATATAGATTAAGGGTTTTGAAGAGAAGACACTAGTTAAAGTTTTAATAAGATTGTAAAATATTTCGGGGTATAGTTATCATATTGTAAATATTATTAAAGATGGTTTTATTGAGCACTTTCAACTTTCAGAATTAAGTAAGGGATCGCCTACTTAATATTGTAGCCTATTTTTAAGGAGTACTTAACATATTAAGAGAGTTTAAATTTTGGTTATCAAACGGGCTTAATTAATAAGTGCTAAATTTGGGTTAACAAACACACCCTAAGTCATATTTAGTGAATTCATGTTGTGTTTAATTAAATTTGTATTGACTTCTTTATTTTAAGATCTAATAGATTTATGTAAGCTCCCAAGTAATTATTTTATGTTATATTAAATTATTATATACTATATTGATGTAGAATGAATTAACGATGAATAAACTATGTACGTGGTGATTATAGAAATAATTTAGATATGTTGAGAAGAATGAAGTTTCGAGATTGCCACTTTTAGGAAAAATGAATTTAGTTATGTTTTAAACATATTTAGAGAAAATAAACATAAAAAATAGTTCCAAAAGGTTGAAAGAACCTTGAGATATGTGATATGAGGTGTATTAGAAGTTTAAAAGTATTTCGGAGTTAAAATGAATTTTAGGGAGAATTCGGATAGAGCAAAATTTGACGTTACCTCACTATTTTGCTCATAATTTTTTACTCCAATCTCCGATTGATCTAATTTTTGAGCGCATAAAATAAACACATAACATGCCCACATAACACCCAATTTCATGGATCACATTGAGTCTAATTCACAACTCATTTCAAGGTAAAATTTAATTTTACCTAATTTCAATACTCATTTCATCAATTTCCACAACGTAGGTAATGATAAAATCTTTTTATCCACATACCCATTACATACTACACCCTAGGTTGTTAAATAAACCTAAGTAGGAAGGAACCCTACCTCTTGAAGTGTGAAATCAATTTCAAGAAGCTCCAAGAATTTAGCCCGAGCTCTAAACCAAGCTCCTCCAAATTCTCGTCTTTCAAACCTTCGGTGAAAATCTCGTTTTTGGTACGTAGGCGTAGCCCTCGACAAGGAGACCAACTTTCCTTCTTGGCCTGAGTGAATCTGAGCACTCGATTTTCGTAGATCGTAGAGAGAAGGTGAAGGAGCTCTCACCAGAGACTCGATCGCCTCGTAAAACGCAAAAAATTCGACTATCTCGAAATTCTATGAAATTTGACTGGTTAACTAGATTTCGCGAGACGAATCCAACGGTGAGATTCGTTTCGTCATCCAAGATCTAGAAAAATTCAAGTTAACAACCCGTACGGTAGTGACAAATTATCGTTTTACCCTTTCTGTAAAAAAGTTTAAATTCACCGGGTTTTACATGATGAAAGTTTCCTACAGTGACAACCATTTTGTAAAAATAATTATATATTTTAAGTATAGATTTATAATTGGAATTAATAAAATTTCTACTGAATTTTGACCAAAACAACAAATATTAGAATTATGATGTGACCAAAATAAATATGAGTGTTGTAATCTAAAATTAGATATAAAACATGCAAACAGTAGTTAGATCATAAAAAAAATATAACATGCAATTAAATAAATACAAAAAATATATAAACATGCAATCTATATAAACCAAATAAATAGATTTAGAGTGAGCAGGCCTGCGAGTCCGAGAGGTTTGTGTGATCACTGTCCTAAAGCAGCTAAGCCTCCCCACGTGAGGGTACTGACGGACACCAACGACTCCAAGATTCAATCCAGACGCTCGCAGCAGCACTTTCTCAATGGTCACGTCCACTGAAAGGTTGGAATGAACTTGACTCAAATCGAATTGCCCAAAAAAAAAATAGATGATAATTGAAAAGGTTGCCCAAGTATAAAAGAATGAAAAAAGTAATCAGAAGATTTCTCGTTGCTCATAAAACAAATTTCTCAAAAACAACACTTTATATAGCCACTGTGTTAACGTACACATGATTGACTTTTAATGTCTTTCAAATTTTTTTTTTTCCTTTTTGACTGTTTGGCTTTGGCTTGTAACCTGATTTTTCATTCTTTTTTATTATTTGTCTTGAATAGCCGTAATACTAATAATAATTATCATTCTTAAATATACACACTAAATAGGACCAAAAAATTTGCAACTGAAATTTACAATTTAAATATAATTAAAATGGAAATTCAATAAATGTTTTAAAAACTTAATTTTATTCTTACACATTTTACGGAAAAAAAAAAGTGAAACCTCATTGGTGGAACAATCTCATGTAAAATATACATACTTTGAAATAATTTATGTCAAATAATACCCTCTTTCCTTTATTCGTAATGTGGTACGATTCTATACCTACATTTGGCTTTAAAATTGTCATTGGAAACAAATACGAAAACCAGAAGTTTTGTGGTGGTACAAGTTCATAAATTCATAGTTTTATAATTTAAATATAAATTCTAATACAAAACCTTATTAGCTGGCCATATAGACGGAGATGCCGCATGAGACTCCTCTTGGGATTGTGGAAGTCCATCTCCTTTAGATTCAATTTGCATCCTTATTAAATCTGAAGCCTAAGATATGGTAACATATCAAAATCAAAATTTGTATTATTTAAAATTTTTAAATTGCAAAATAGAATTTGTTGTACCCATACACCTGTCGGGCCACTATGGGGTTGCATCTACTTTTCAATTGAGATTCCAAAAAAGTAATTTTTGTTTGCATAAGATCGAATTCTATTTTAACTTGTTGATCTATCTCTGCTCGCATTCTTTAAATATATTG